ATAGGTGAAAACATGGAGTCTCACCAGTTCACTGACTTAACAGAACTGGTGACCATGTTTTCACATATACTGACTTAACAATAGGTGAAAACATGGAGTCTCACCAGTTATATATTTGACTTTTATTTTTAACCAGATAAGTGGATAAGACTAAGTACCTGAATATGCTGGTAATATTCGACTTGTTTACTTTCAACGCTTTATGGTTAACCTGTTGTAAACATTTTAACAAGCTCTGAGATTAAAACAGTTTTTTGTTTTGTTTTTTACTTCAATAGGTAAACAAGTGCTGATGTTGAATTTTTGTAATCAAAATTATATGTTTTAACATAACAGTAACCAAATAAATCTCCGTTTTATACAGTTAAAACTTTCTTCCAACGTCAATGCTGATATGTTAGCGAAACAATATGGCTGAAATATTTACGTTTGTCACAAGACATTAGAATTAGGCCTAACACATTTTCAAACGTTTCATTCTTAATCTAGTCCCTCAGAGATTTTCAGGAATTAGAAGAGTGTATGATAACAATATTCCAACTACACTATATTTGTCATATCTATTGACAACGACAATATTGTTATTGTATCAAATAGCTTATATAAATAGTGTTCCAGCTACTGCTGTGTTTGTTGTATCTAGGCCGGCCTGAAAAAACATTCCCGCGAAGCCATTCAAAGACTATCTGCACTAACTGTCTCTAATTTTGAACTGATAGACTGAAGAGAATGCACCTAGCCAACAGCACCCATCGTCAACTCTTGGGTTATTATTGCTGGATCGAACAGCTGGATTTGACACCCATTCTTATAGAACTGTAGGTGGGTGGTATTGACTAGCTGTCATCCTTCTAGCCAGAGAACGCTAAGCGATATCCAAATGCCTAGACCTTAATGTTCAGAAAATTAATTCCTTTTATAGTACATACTATCCATCTCGTTTAAAAATCACGATTATTCCAAAATTGCGATTGAATACTAAGTCTAAAACGTATTATTAAAGATCTGTTGTTTTTTTTTCTTTTCTATTTTTCTCGTTTATACGTAAATATAAATTCCTTTTTATTCAGAAACTAAAGTCACAATGAGCGCCAGCCCCACGCATTAGCAAAAGAAGCGACAGCTTGGTTTGGCCTCGCACTAGTGTTTTGAACATAATATTGAAAACTATAATGTACTAATTATCTTTATCTTTTGCAAAAATGCAATAAATCTTGTGATCTTTAAAATTTTTGAATAATTCTTCGCCACTTAATTTGAGTCGTACTTTTTTAATATATCCTTTAGACGGGGTAAAGCCCTTGTGGTAATTTGTTTTCAAAATATACGTTTTCTTCTCCTCCGATTCTACCAACTGAGTTAATAAAGGGCTAACTCACTATCGCTTGTTAGTTAGTAAGTTACTTATAACAACTCAAACTACTGGTTAAAAACTTATCACACTCTCTAAGCCACTCTTTTACTGCAAAATAGTTTAGTGTACTTCATGGTCTAATTATCCTAATCCTCAAGCTTTTCAAGGGAAACATTGGCCATAATTTCCAAACGTATTTTAATACTAGACGTCGATCTATTTGTTTCAGATATGGAAAGGAGACTGGAATGTAGATGACGGTATAAAACGTTGTGTCGAAATATTTGTTGTGAACTTAACCCTAACTAGAAATACACTCTAAGAGTGTAACTCTCTCCCCACTTTGCACGAAAAAAAAACGACAAACAATTCCTACCCCCTCCCCTCACAAAAAAAAAATAGTGTCTTGAGGTCAATATGCTTTTCCTATCTCAGTTTATTATCGAGTTTTGATCGTTTTACAAAATCCCAATTTGCTACCATTATGATGAAGGTGGTTGATCTTCTGTGTGACCTTGACCTATGAGCAGTCAAGCGCTTATGACCATGAACAAAAAAAATATTATCAAAAGTGAAGTTACTTCTTGTCGTTGTTGCTGGTATTCGTGAAAATCACTCTTGTTCTTCTCGTTTAGTATTTCTATTTTGAAGCCACGATAATTTCAAACTTTACACGTATTCGAACCGTTATACGCCCATCAGAACGCCGGTATCTAGTTTGTTTCGAAGTTTTGCGCAAAGCTAAATTGCCAACTCTAAGCCTACTTTAGTCAAGCCTAATAGTGGAATTTGACCGCCACTCTTATGGCAAACCCAAGGTCCAAAAGTGCGGAACGCGTTTTCTGTAGCAACGGGACAAGAATGAAAATTCTCGGATTCACAGACGGGGTTCCATAACTACGCCCGGCCCACAATCCGCTATAGAAATTCCTGTAGAAGGTCGTCGACTTCGTCGTCTGAAAACCAGTCCTCAAAATACACCACTATTTGTCGTACTTCGTACATTACTTTCGTTGACTGACGACCTTGACTTAATTCTGGCCACGAGACCTACCACGATTGCGACGACTTAGTAAGCTAAAATATGCAAGCTTTTGCTTTTTTCTAGATAAAATATGCAAGCTTTTAGTGTGAAGGGCAATGATTTGCAGTAGGAAAATAGTTCTACATGCTTTAAATTCGATGATTATTATGCACTTACAGGATGTCTAACAAATAACTTTATTTAAGGCCAGAAAACCAGAGCGATTCCTTAAAAAAGTTTAACTTTGAAAACATCTAGACAATTTACATGATTTGTTTTAATGTAAAATTAATTGAACTTATATGAAGCTTTCGGTGTTTTATCTACCTCAAGTTTTCCCGGTGGGTCAGCGCTAGGTTTGCCAATTTAAGACGCTTAAAATTGGGGTTCGATTCCCCATGTTGAATGGAGCGCTTACATCCCATTGTGTAGCTTTTCGCCAAAACAAAGAAACACCCACAGCTCTCAATAACAAATTAAATTGTTTGTTTTAGAAAGCGCAATCTGTTTATAACCGTCCCTAATCTTATGATAGACTATAAACGGAAGGCAGCTAAACTACAACCCCACCCCCAGCTCTTGAGTTACTCTCATTTGACCGAATAGTGGGACTTGGTTGTCACTCTTATGACGTACCCATGGCCCCAAAGTGAGGAGATCGATTTTGCCACAGCAGGATGCTAACAATGAATCCGTGAATTCACAGGATAGGCTCATTTGAAGGACAACCCTTTTCCTTATAACTCTAAGCACAATAGAAAAATTGCCCTATAACCAAAAAAAAAAAATCGTGATCGTTTAGCGTATGTTTTAATCGTCGTGAGCATACAGATTTGCTAGGGGGCGTATAAGAGTTTATTTGTTTGTTTGTAATTAAGCACAAAACTACACAATGGGTTACCTGTGCTCTGCCCACCACGGGTATCGAAACACGGGTTCTAGCTTTGTAAGTCCCCAGACGTATCTCTGTTCCACTGGGGGGGGGGCGGCACGTATAGGAGAGTGCCAGTACTGTGTAAATTTTTTTATATGTATTTGCCCTAGTATAGTAGCTATAATTCGAGGATTATCCTCCTGTCTTTGCATGAAAATTAAGCTAAACCTAACAAGATATTGATATAGGATACACCACTTTTGAAAGCCGTATTAATAATAATGAATTAAACATTAACTAATATCCAAAAACATAAAGACAGAGCACCTAAAATATAGATGTCACCACAAAAAAAAAAGGATCACGTGCTTCAAGTCCATAACACTTTCATAAGTCCATCTCTATTTACAAATTGGTTAGAAACACCATGCCAGATTAGCATCTCCTGCTTATTCATTGCTGGCCACTGATGTTGTGTGCAGTTTATATGCAACATTTAACTGTCATCTGAATAGATATCACCTGGTAAGCTCATCTTCTTCACTAACCTTCCTAAATTAACGATACTACTGACTTTTTCGACTGATTTGGTGTTGCATTACTGCATTAACTAATTTGGTTGAAATGACGAGGTCGAAAAATTCCATCAAAGTCAGTATGTTTAGCTTTGTTAGACTCGATGATTCCATCTATATTGACTTAACATAACTGGTGGACTCCATGTTTACACCTATACTGACTTAACATATCTGGTGGACTCCATGTTTTCACATATACTGACTTAACATGTTTTCTGGATTGACTAACAAGGATTTGGCATGGAAGATGAATAGCGTACATTGATGTGACGTTTATTATTATTTGACGTGCCAAATGGAATGTAAATAGTTTTATCCAACACTTGCATTCTAAAATAAAAAAAGAAGATTCTATTTCAAATGAGTTTAATACGTATTTATTTGTTTAATGTTTTACTTTGTTTGCGACTATATGATGCTTTTTGAAAGAAGTTACACAGTGACCTTATTATAAACAGACGTTCCTTTTTATTTTCACGACTTATTACTTATAGTCATATCGCTTGAAAATATTGTTACGTATCTGCTCGTTTGTGAATTTGCGGTATAAATTCTTTCCGGGGAACTTTAGCAATACAAGTCCTTTCTTAATTAAAACTAGTTTATTATTTCTTAATACAACGTTTTAGTGCACAGAATTTCCACAGTCACTTTAAACTTAACAACCTTTATAACACACGTTCTAAATCACAGCGATTCACACACTTTACTTACGGTGCCTACTGTTCGCTTGACTCAATTATCTATCTCTTCAATCTATCTGCATATCCATCTGCCTATCTCGCTGGCTTTCTTTGCCAGGCTTATATACTAGAAAAAAGTGGGCGCCTCGAACAAACTAGAATTGCCAGGAAAATTCATGATCCTTCTAGAAACTTCAGCACGCATGCTCCCAGCGTCGCGTGACTTCCGCTGTCGTAACAATATCGTCCAGTCTAATAAAATTCTACGCTGCAAAACTTACTGGTCTAGAATATTCTCACAAAACAACATAATTTTGAATTGATAGACAACTAGACGAAAGTCAAAAGCACCCCCGCCAACTTTTGTGGTACTTCTGTCTGACTAACTAGTGAAATTTTGCCAGTTACTTTTGTAAATCCCCAAAAAAAAGTAAATCACGTTTTTTGCTACTGCGGGACTTTTATCTTGAACCCTCAGGCTCACAATCCGGCACACTGACCACTAGGTCACATCCGGCTCAGTACAACTACATAAACCCTGCTTGTGATGCAGTCAGATCGTTCCAAGAGTAATCAAGACGTCAATTTCAGTTGAAACGTCAACTGAAAGTCTGTGAGACATAATTTTTGACACATAGTTCTGATTATTGTACCTTTATTATCAATATCGCAAGTGATTAAAATTGTACAAACTACCAATCAACAGATCATACTCGCCAATCTTGGCATCTTTACACCATTTAAATATTAATTATTTATCCTTTGCAGCTTCCCCCCCCCCAGTGGCACAGCGGTATATCTGCGGACTGACAACGCTAGAATCTGGGTTTCGATACCCGTGGTAGGCAGTGCACAGATAGCCCATTGTGTAGCTTTGTGCATAATTACAAACAAACATCCTTTGCAGCGCTCTCTAGTGGCAAAGTGATAAGTCAGATCTCTTGCAGCGGTTTCAATTATTTCCTTGTATTTCTGGGTCATTCCAGACGTGAAAGGTTTTGTAATAATGTAAAATAATGAAATGTTAATAATAATTTAAATAATAACAATAACTTTCTAAAGTGATCATATGTCTAGTTACTTTTTTAACCGGATTCTAAACGCACCTTACAGGCCAGAACTCATGATGCAACTAATTACTTCTAAAGATATTCTTGTATAAAATCATTTAAAAAACTGTCATTACGTTCAATGTGTTCTTTTTATTTCACTGTCGACGAGTTTGATGTAAAGATGTTCTTTCAGGTGTTTTAAAGAATGAGGTTACAACAACGACAACAACAACACATGTAGCAAACCACGTCTTTATTTCTGTACATCAATCTACATACTAAATTAAATCAGAATTTATATACGAATATGCAGGTTTACCAGCTGTTTATTTTATGTAGAGGGCAGCACAAAGTTCAATAAACTGAACAATAAATATTTTCTTTGGTAGCTGCACCAAATAGAGCAAAGGGTGAACTATTGTTAAGATGGAAAGCTAATAACGTCGTTAGATGTGTAAGAGCATCAGAAGAGCAAGGATACCAAACACTTTGTCGGCGTAAAGTTAAATCGTTCCCAGAGAAACAAACAAGTAGTTAAGATATTAATTTCAAAGCGAATGGAAATTAGTGGTATTTGAAAGCCGCAGCGGCTCCATAAGCAGGCACGCCATAGCCATAGGCGGGAGCAACAGCAACGGGAGCGGCGATAGCAGGAGCTGCTACGGCAGTTCTCACGACGGCAGGTCCGTGAGCAACGACTCCGGGTTGGCTAGAAGCCACTACAACGCCAGCAGGAGCACTGGGGGCGGTACCTGGTTCATTAGTCTTAACCACGGCACGGAAACCGGCTCCATCGGCGACGTACTCAACTCTACGGGCACGACCATCGATGTCATTCAGACTGTAGGCTCCACGTGTGTTACCGTAGCCATCTCCAGCCTCCCAGCGGCCGTTGGTGGCGCCCAACGGGTCAACAATGTCGTAGTTAAAGGCGTAGTTTCCGAAATCCTAATTTCAAAGAATCAAAACAATATCGAACAAATTTCTCAAGTTTAAAACAAAAAAAATATATAAACATAATATAGCTTTCATAAGTCACTATAAAGTTGATATTTTTCATTCGCTGTTTTTGAATTATTAGTGAAAAACGCCTAGATAGCGAATGTTATTGAATTATCAGATATTTTTTTTAAGCTGGAAAATTCGGATTAAGTTTAATGAGCGCAGATTTTCCGTTTGATGATCTTTTAAATTAAAAAGTAACTACGAAACGAATAAAAATAAATCAAAGTAATAAATATTAAAAACAATTCATATGACAAATCAATTAGAATAAAAATATATAATAATATAAATGGCGTCTAATGGCCACTGCGTCATCTGTCGGCTTAATATTCAATATTTTTAGTTTTTAATAATATTCAATATTTTTGTTTTTAATAATATTCAATATTTTTGTTTTTAATAATATTCAATATTTTTGTTTTTAATGATATTCAATATTTTTAGTTTTTTTAATAATATTCAATATTTTTGTTTTTTAATGATATTCAATATTTTAGTTTTTTTTAATAATATTCAATATTTTTAGTTTTTTGATAATATTCAGTTATTTTTTGAATGATTACTTACATCCTGTCGTCGTGAAGTGATGCTAGAACCACCAGCCAAACCATGTGCGGGGATAAGTCCCCCATAGGCGACGGCCACCAAGGCGCAAAGAACGAAGATCTAATACAAAGAACAATCATAGAAAAAAATTACAATGTCCCGTTTTCCTTTAAAAATTAAAATAATGGTATAAAATATTACTTTTTCACATTGTTTTGCAACAGAAGTATTGTAAAGATGGAACGCGAGAATTTTCAAAATATTTCATTTGTTAGAAAGTAAGTTAAGAATTATCACTAATATATGATGTTTAAAAACTAACCCATTGATTTATTTTTCATATTTAAGACACGCAACACTCAACAGGTATGGGTTAAAATACTGCTTCGACTTTAGAGCTTAATTTTAACACCTAATCACGTGACCACAGTTAAAACGTAAATTAGTCTTCGATGATAAAGCTAATCTTAACGTAACACTTTGATTCGTACTGCTAGTACTATGTAGAGTTAGCAGGGATCGAACTTCGTTTCTCGCGGTGTGTAATGCACTAGCGTCTTACCTTAGCGATCATGGTTGTACTTTATGGACAAGTCGGAGCAACAGTTGATCTGTCTCAGTGTCTGTCCACTTTTATAGTGCACTATGACGTCACAGTAAAGTCACATTCCGAACTGTTGCTTACTCATTATTATAACTATTATTTGTCTGTAGAAAAATTGAGAGGTACAAGGCCATCCTGGTTCGGTATTAACTTCGCAGAAACTGCTTCTTTACGTGGTTCTCGAGCAGGTTCTCAGGCCATAACGATTGAACCTTCGAAGTCTTGTTGGTCATGAAGTCAGTTGTTGGTTCAGAAAGGTTTGAATTAAGTTACAATAAAAAAGTAAATGTCCTTTAAAGTTTGACGCGATAGGCTGATTACAGTATTCCGATGTTAAATTATGCGTTAGTCACTTCTCAAATGTGTATATTATTTGTTTATTAAGAGTTCCGGACAAGCAGTTTTTTTCTTCTTTCGGGAATAAGGAACAGCTTCGTTACAATTCAAAATGTAATTTGTTCTTTCGGAATTCCTACGACATACCAACGAATATTTTTATTCTCTTGTGACACAAGATATATACTTAACACATCACACACACACACACACACACACACACTGCTTACGTCTACAACACGCAGCTAATCTTTCTAAATAAACAAACATACAAAACACAGCCGTGTATTAACCTATTACTTCCAAATGTTTCATTTTTAGAAGAAAAAAATGTTCTTTTATTACCTGACCTGATTTTTTCTTGTTTTAATAGTGTTTTTGTACATTGTTATTATTGCTGTTTTAATAAAGTGTTTTTGTACATTGTTATTTTTGCTGTTTTAGTAAGTATTTTTGTACATTGTTATTATTGCTGTTTTAATAAAGTGTTTTTGTACATTGTTATTATTGCTGTTGTTATTGATATGTTTTACGGCAAAGCTACATTGGGCCATCTCCTGTGTCCACCGCGGGGAATCAAACTTCGGATTTTACTGTTGTAAGTCCATAAACTTATCACTGACCCAACGGAGGACATTTTCGTAAATATATCAAATGTTTAATTTCACGGTTTTTTTAATTGTGACGAAATATGAATCGCATGGTAAGTTGATAATACTTCATCATTGAAATATTATAATTAAAAGTTAACTCGCTGTAATTATATGTATACCATTTTTATAATATACAATGTATTCTGTAAAAATAACTTGTCACTTTATACACGGGAGCACCAAATAAATGTTGCTGTTTTAGTTTCGGAAAAATTAAAATTTTGTGACAAATAAATATGTTACTGAAGTTAAATTTTAGAAATTTCTTCTGGGTATTATTAGAAACAGTAATCTATAACAAAACTTGCTTAAAGTATCTCTAATTTAGTATGGTAACTAAAGGGTTAAGATTGTTTTTGGTAACTGTCACATTTGTCAATACATTCTTTAATTCACAGCGGAAATATTTAGTAAGCTTTTATGTCGGTCCTGCCCCCCTATGGCTCAGCGGTAACTCTTAAGGTTTATAATGCTAAAAACCGGGTTTCGATACCCGTGGTGGGCACAGCGCAGATAGCCCATTGTGTAGTTTTGTACTTAATAACAAACTCTCGCTCCGAGAGATCGTTGTCTTCTAAGAAGTCAAGTTATTATGGGGAAAAAAATCACAACTGTATTCTTGTTTCATTAAACGAATTTGTATACCTAACCTTCAATGGGTTAATTTAGTCTTCATTGAAATGATCGTGTTTCTCACGGTTTAGTTTCATTGTAATTTTTTAATTTCTTAATATTTCGCTCACGTATAAAAAAAAATGTTGCGATTTCCAATTAATTCATGAAACCATGTTTCTCTAACGGCTCATTGAAAAAGATCTGGGAGGGGGGCTTATAATGCTAGAATTCTGGATTCGATACCAGCATTGGTCACTCAAGTGCTGCTTTGCACTTAACAACAAACAAACAAAGCTGTCTACTTACATCATCAGTGACAGAGATTAAAATTTTGGATATCTGGGCCAGTTTGCTTCAAGAAGCTGACTTTTTTTATTTATATTTCAAAAATTGCAGTAACGGCATTCCTGAAGAAGTGTACTTGTAGGAAACAGAAGTTACGTAAGCCATATTTTTATGGGTATAAATAATATCTCGTCTGTTTTGTTTTTTTTGTTTTACCTTCAGCAAATGTTTTGTCTATCGCTCTTACACGTGATAGTTTTTGAACGAAAGAATGATCATTGTATCTGAACGCCCAAATATTCCTTGATTTCGTTTAACTAATACCTTACCCAACCTCCTCGGGTGTTACATTTATTATTTTTTAATGTTTTGTACCTAAAACAGTATAGTCGCAATATGCGTAAACTGGGTCAGAGAGAAAACAGCCTTGAAACATAGGCGTGGCGTGGATACAAGGTTAGCAGCTTTCTGAAACCATATAGTTCCTGTACACATATTCATGCATGAGAAACCCCGTAGAAAGGTAAGAATAGGAAATAATTTAAAGTTCAGAGTTTAAAAAAAATAAGACAAAAACTTTCCTGTTAAACAACAAATTTATTCGTTCTCGTTCTCCATGTAAAGTTAACATATAAGAATACATCTTTCCATGCCGATTAGGATATGGATAAGATTTAATTTCATTTGTGTTGTAAAGATATGAATCCGTAACGGTTTTTTGTGCTCGAGCATTTGTAGCACGTGAACGTAGCTTAACCCGAACGTTTCGTGACGGTTCGGCCTGGCATGGCCAGGTAGTTAGGACGCTCGATTCGCAATCTGCGGGTCGCGAGTTCGAATCCCCGTGCCGCCAAACATGCTCGCCCTTTCAGTCATGGGGGCGTTATAATGTCACGGTCAATCCCACTATTCGTTGGTAAAAGAAGAGCCCAACAAGTCGGCGGGGGGTGGTGATGACTAGCTGCCCTCCTTCTAGTCTTACACTGCTAAATTAGGGACGGCTAACACAGATAGCCCTCGCGTAGCTTTGCACGAAAAATTCCAAAAACAAACAAACAAAAACAATCGTGACGGTTCAGTACACCTGCTGGTCTGTCTGTACTGCTGAGAAGAGCCCATCGCTATTCCTGAGTCTAACAAAAACCTTGAATCTCACTTTGGCTGAAAGTGTAGCTGCATTAACTCAGTTTATTCATTCGTTTGTTATATAGTATAGCCTTGGTTTTACGTACAGTTCGGTAGCAGCTAATTCTCATGAATTTCGCGTGTCTGAACTTTTTAACTTGTATATTTTCAGTATATATTTCTAAAAATACAGTTTTAACGCCTATCTATAAATATTTGGACATCATACATTCCCAAGAAGAACACACCAAATTATAAACGTAATGATAGGAGCACGTTAACTTAAAAAAATTTCTTAAATACATATATATATAAATAATTTCGTGTTTGAAATTTCACAATATATATATTGTAATTCGAGTTATAGAGTCCTTTTCTTTCTCTTTTAAACTGTACGCCATAAAAATAATGATCTAATTCATAATAAGTTTGTGTTGTATATGTTCAGGTAAACAAGTTTTATGTTGTGTATGTTCAGGTAGACAAGTTTGTCATTATATAAAAGACTGTTTAGTTTAGATTTATTTATTGATTTGTTTTTGTGAGTGAATATTTTATTATTGTTTAGTTTTTGTTATAATAAGAGTTAAAAGCAGACGACTGTACGAAGTTTTGTTAATAATTCGTTGATGTTGAGACTATTGAACGTCGAGTGCAATACATTGACGCCGAGAATATAGAAGGGAGACATACGATTAGGTGATAAAGATATAAATAGTGTGAGACGAGCGGGAAACAGCAGACAGTTATAGCAGAAGAAATTAAAGTTACAAAAGGAAACGTTATATACCGTAGAAATGATAGGCCTAACAATTGACATGGGCCTAACGCTTAATATGTTAGAGTAAGACTAACAAGAGATAAGAAGAAGAATTATTCCGTCAAAGCGTGGTTCTAAAGTAATTGAATCAGCCAGAGTGCACTTTGACAAAAGGAACAGAGGATCTTCAGAAGAAAGAAGACCAAAAAAATTACGGTAACTTGCGCC